CTACATTAGGTACCCTGCAATGGTGAAGAGATCATATGAACTGCTGGACAGTTCACTAGCTTAACCAAGAACCATCGAGTAGCTACGCAGACTACAAAAAAACTGGTATACACTCCTCATGAAATCAACATAGCGAATGCTCTAATAAAAAAATGATGTGTGAAACAGATAGAACAGTTAGCTTTACCTGTTAGTCTAATCATATACTTGTACTCATATACTAATCTCAAAAAATGGATATTCAGACTGCCTTCAACATTTCACTACCAGTAGTCTCTACATGAACATTTACCATCCTTGAAGTGTTTTTTTTATGAAACAGGAGGGGTTGCCCCCTACTGGCTTTATTGAAAATTTTAAATAAAATGAGCATCCAGCAGGTACAAAAGCTTCAAGAAACAAAGGAGGAGACAAATAAAATAAGCAAAATTACACATAGGCTTCTAGCTATTGACTAATACTAGGATGATAGCTGCTTTCGCTCAAAGAATAACTTGAGCGAATTTCCTCTTGAAAATAGCTCGGCACCGCTGCATAGAAGGTTGGATATCTCTGAAGATTAAATCATTTCCCGTCTTGTCACTAGAGATATTAACTTGGTTGCATTATGACAGTCGTTACAAATTCAAAGGTTCTTCTTTATCTGAATTGTCGTGCCAGGGCTGTTCGAATGAGCCCATATGCAATGGCAAGCTTGTCACTGTGGGTGCCAAAAATGAAAACACGCACGCTGTGTCGGGTCTTGGGGACTTTAACAAGGTTCCACTATAGAGATTAGAGAAGGTAACTAAGCCATCCTTATATGCAAATCACTTAGTTACTCCACTAGTGAAACTAGCAAAGTTGATATATGGGAGATTTTCTACGGCGAAGTTTTACATGTGCTATATAGAGCATAGAAGAACTTATGGTAAAACTTGCCCACCTAGATTCAAGTTAATTTTTTCAATCATAATACACGTTCTGAAAAGGCAAATCTAACATCCAGGGCTTAGAGAGTTGGCCCAAACCCCGAGGGGCTATATGGGCAATGGTGGAGGGAAGGCGGGCGAAACACCCATAGGGTTGCAATTATTACACGAATCAGATTATTTAACTGAATTACTCTTCTTTTTTTATTACAAAATATAAATGCATACGAATAATAGAATGCTACAGGTATTGTTATCTTCACTAATTAAAGCAGACCTTATATGTGTATACAATTCTTAATGTTTTTGTTGTTGAGAAGGGCCCCTCCCATGTTAAATTGTTGTCTACTTGGTTACAGGGTTAGACTTCGATTGACCCATCCCCTTCGCTTGTTGTTACAATTCTTAATGTTTTTTGTTGTTGTTGAGAATGGCCCCTCCCATGTTAAATTCCTGTCTCCTTCCTTGGCTACCGGGTTAGACTTCGGCTGACCCATCCCCTTCTCTTGTTGTTCATCACTGCGCTCAATGTTTTCGTTGAAGGAAAAACGAGGCTTCGCGGGGACAATGGTGTCCAGAGCTTAGGGGAGTAACCAAACAGTGAAGCTGAACCACATGGCCCGTGGCTCGTGGAGGCTAATTGTCTAGCACCCTATTCCAGATACATAATTGCGAGGCCAAGGCTCCATGCAGGTGGCAGAAACGATCTGGCACCGATATTCGTTAAACATCGTAATTAGCGTTCCTTCCTGAAGTCTCCTACTCCTATTGTTCTCGATAACATGATTTATCTCTTTCTCATGCACTTTGTTGGTAAATAGCAACACTAAAATATTGAGAAAACCCATGCGAGAACAAATGTTTTTCCCTATCTCAGTGATCTTTGTTTGTTTCCCAAGAACATGCTGAGCATGACTTTTTAGTAAGAAGAAGAAAGAGCTAGTTTTATAGTGACCGGAATGGAAGTGTGCAGTACAAATCAAAAGGACTGTAAAGGAGGCACGGAGGAGAGAGAGAGAGAGAAAATAAAGGAAGTTTCAAGCCTACTCCACTAGCACTCTAGCAGTGTGATAAAATTAACCGCACTACTATCATGCAAGAACCAGCTCGACTTCCAAACATGACCAAGCATCAAGATCTAGCAACTCATAAAGAATTAATTGTAATAGTGGATTATCGAAGCCATAACTAGTGCCCACACCGACCTCTATATATAGTAGTTATGATGATGTGTCCTTAAGACGGCATTTCTTGGAAGGACATGACGCTCTGAGATCTGATGTCGTCGGCCATGTGATGTAGGTAACCAAACCGTCTAAGGTTTACATGAGAAGAATATAAGATCCGGGTCGTCCCAACAAAATGTCTCTAGTCTTTGCAATAGTTTAAATATAGCTACAAGCTAAGGATGCGCTATATAGAGCATAGAAGAAGTGAGAACTTGTTGCGAATTCAGTGTCAGTTAGCTGGTTTTCTTATGATAGAACTTGTCCACCGGAATCAAGTCAATTGATATCATAATACGCTTCATGATAGAATTTAGTCACCGACAACTTAGCTTTAATTGTTTATTTCTTAATTTATTAGAAAATATTTAAACTTATTATTCTCTCTCTAGTATGCGAAAGGAACAACGTTTCAAAAAGGCAAATCTAACATCCGTGGCTTAGTCTCATTAGAGCAAGTACAATAATTAGCTTAGCCAAACAAATACTGATATGGAGAAGAGAAGAGATGAGAGAGAGAGGAGAGCTTCGGCTCTCATGTAAGTAACAAGTTAGACACGGAAGCATATGCAGTGGTGGGCCCATATATTAAGTGGATGTGAGGAGGATTAGGAAAGAAGGTGAGACATAGGTAAAAACAACAATAAAAATTTCTTATAGACAAATAAGAGATCACTATTGTATAGCTTGCCTCCCACAACTTGGCTAATAGCCAAACACTTGGCTCTTTTATTGGCCTTGCTCTTAGAGTTGGCCCAATCCCCGAGGGGCTATGGTCTGGTTGAGGGAAGGGGGGACACCACGAAGGTCATAGTTTTTCCTTAATATATATCACCTCTAATTATCATCACAAAGCAGAGTATTTAGTGAATTGGTCTTCCTTTTTTAGTGCAAAGCATATATGTTCAAATAATAGAATGCTACAAGTATTATTATCTTTACTAAAGTAGAGCTTATACGTGCATATACAATTTTTAATGTTTTTGTTGTTGACAATGGCCCCTGTCATGTTAAATTCCTGCTGGCTCCTTCTATCGCTATATGGGGCTAGACTTCGGTTGACCCATCCCCTTCTCGGATGTTGTTTATCGATCGCAGCGCTCAATGTTTCGTTCTAAGGAAAAATGAGGCTTCGCGGGGACAATGATGTCCGGAGCTTGGTGGGGAGACTGAAGACCCTAGCTGAACCACAAGGTTCTCGTGGCTCGTGGAGGTCAATTGTCTACCTCCCTGTTTCAGACATAGTTGCGAGGCCAAGGCTCCATGCAGGTGGCAAAAATGACTAGGCACCAGTGTCTTTTAAGCATCCTAGCGGTTCCTTCCCGAAGTCTCCTACTCCTATTATTCTCGATCGCATGATTTATTTCTTTCTTATGCACTTTGTTCGTAAATAGAAAAATTAAAATATTGAGAAACCATGCGAAAACAATGGTTTTTCCCTATCTCACTGATCTTTGTTGTTTCCCGAGAATATGCTGATCATGATTTTTTTAGTAAGAAGAGGAAAGAGTCTTATATATATATATGGTGACCTGAATGGAAGTGTGTACAGAAGGTCTAAAGGAGGCACAGAGCAGTGAGGGGAAATAAAGAAAGTGTTTATGGCATTTATCAAGCGGCAGCTAAGGATGTTTCAGGCCCGCCTGCTACTCTGCTAGCAATGTGATGATAAACCCTACCACACAACGACCAAACCTGCTCGACTCCAAACATGACCAAGCATCTAGCACCTCATGAAGACATTAAAATAATAGATTGTGGAAGCTGTATTAACCAGTGCCCACACTAACCTTCATAGTTATGTAGATTAATGCTTAAGATGATGCATCTTAGAAGGACATGATGCTCCGAGATCTGATGTCGGCCATGCAATGTAACCAAATCGTATAAGCCTTACACTAGAATTTATAAGATCATGGTTATCCCAACAAAATGCCTCTAGTCTTTACATTATTTTACATATAGCTCGAAGCTAAGGATGTCATGGACCCGCTTCCCATAGCAAAGTCTACTCCACTAGCAACAAAATAACACTACGTGAAAAACGGTTTGTAGCAACATGACAATTTTTTTAGGGGCGGCCGGTGATAGAGCCGCCCCTACAGTGGCGTGTTCAGGATCCACGAGATCAGCCGTCCCTATAAATGGAACAGTAGGGGCGGCTGGTGATACGAGCTGCCCCTACAAATGGGTAGGATTTGTAGGGGCGGCTCACTCACCAGCCACCTCTGATGTTGCTATTTGTAGGGTCGGCTGGTGATTGAGCCGCCCCTACAAATGGAACAGTAGGGGGCGCCTGGTAATACGAGCCACCCCTACAAATGCGTGGCTGCTGGACGAGCGCGGACCCGAAAAAATTATCAAATCCGGTGAACCGAAGAGGTCAGGTCCGCACTTTATCCAAGCCCCGTCCTCTCTCCTCTCTCCTGCCCCGTCCTCTCTCCTCTCTCCTCTTCCTCTCCCTCCCCGCTGTCGTCGCCACCTCTCTTCCTCTCCTCTCCCTCCGCCATCATCGCCTCTTCCTCTCCCTCCGCTACGGTTCCGTCTTCCTTCCATTCCCCCACCCCACCGGTGACCGGTCCACCCCCGCCGGAGAGTTGTTGCTAACACCACATAGATCTACGTGCAGCTGGCCGCTCTAGGGCCCAGGCACAGGGAGGCCTGGCGAATCCATCCGGCGATGGCATGAGCGCATGGAGGCGGTGACCGAAAGTTAGAGCGCACCGCCCCTCCTTCGCCCCTCGGTGAGTCGGCAGCCGTGGGCGGGGACACATCGCATCCCCTTGCTGGGGCCGGCCGGAGTTCGCCGGATCTGGTGGACCTGTCCACCACGGAGGTGCACGCTGGGGAGGGGGACACCTCGATGGCTGCGCTTGCTCCGCTCGATGTAGCGCGCTCTCGTCTGCGACGTCACCGTGGCATCACTCTGGAGGAAGGGCATCCCCTTAACAATGGCGTATGCTCCGAATCACCTGTTAATCAGGTACTCTTTGGTAGTTTGATATCAGCTGTTATGTTGAAGTAAAAGATTAGTTTCATTGTGGCGACTGAGGATGGCTCGAATATGACTTCAACATATTGCTTTTATTGTGTTATTATTACTCTTTGGTGGTTTAATCAACATATTATAAGAATATTGCCTCAACATGATATTAGAAGATAAATAGGACTATATACTTTAAGGTGCATCAGAGTATAACGGAGGATGGCTGTTAAGTAATAAAAGTAAAAGATTAGTGACAAGACATGGAGTAGAATATTACTTTTATTATGTTGTTACTCTTTGGTACTTTAATCTCAGCTTTTATGTTGAAGGAATCAAAAGGAAAAACTGTTTTTACTTAATAGTATATACTCCTATTTATCTTGTCTGCTCCGAGACCGATACATTAGATCCTATTTATCAGGGTATAATCTTACAGAAATTTTTATGATATATTCATTACTGTAGGTTGAAGATCTTTCAAGGATGTTCAGGCTCCTCTCTAGGATTAATGGTGGCCTGCCTCCTGTATCTAAAATATTCCAGGAGGTATCTTCTATGCTGTATTGCATTGCACTTTTAAACAAGTAATATATTAAGTAAAAATAATATTGATGTGTCTGTGGTAGGTTGGTGAGTACCAAGGTGCATACAAGGTCAGTAATATTTCCAAAGATTTATGCTTCTTTTTTTCTCTCCCTGTGGCAACTGAAAAGTAATATATGAATGCTACTGGTATTGAGCTTCTCTTCATTGTGGCAGATATCTAAGGGTTTGCTTGACAAGTATGGCCCTGATAGGGTTCTTGATACTCCAATTACTGAGGTTATAAACCCACAAATTGATCACCATTGTCCATCCATAAGATGTCAGGTTGACCCGATCACATTCTCATACTAATCTTATTTGTTTTTGTTCAGGCTGGCTTCATTGGCATTGGTGTTGGTGCCGCCTACCATGGTCTTCGACCTATTGTAGAGTTCATGACATTTAACTTTTCAATGCAGGTCAGTTGTTTAATGAATTCTGCAAATCACCATACTAATTCAATTATTAACTATTTGCTTGCTTTGATTTGTTCTTCACTCCTTGGCATATCTGTTGGTTTCTGTACTCATTTTCTCTACATGCTTTGCAATCCCAGAAAATTCCTATTTGTTGCAGCATCCTATTGTATATCTGTTTTTGCTCTTCTCTGTTTGCTTTATATTTCTTAGAAGAAGCATTTATTACATAAATTAGAATGGCTCCTAATGGTTGACGATTGTAATGCATTTTGTTAAGTAGCACCTCATTGGAGAAAGATGTATATACATAACCAGCATGTTAACATGTTCATAGACATTCTTCTCTTGAGAAAAAAGTGACATGAACTCCCTCACTCCAGTTTATTTTCACATGGTAGAATATCTGTCAGATCCATTAAACACTATGATCCATTCTAATTTGATTACTGAATCAGAGGGGTTATAATCTGATATGGTGTCGCTGATGAACGTTTGGTGATTACAATTCCTTGCATAACAATTTGTCTTTACAATTTTTTGCAACAATAATGTTTGTTATTCTGGTACCGCTCTCCATCTTTGAGAATATGAATACTGGAGACTCCATATGCTGAATACTGGCTTTCGTTGATGGATTTTCTGCAAATCTTATTTTTTGTTTTTATGAATGTAGATAGAGCATCAAGGGAAAGATGTCACTATCACTGCATTCTCCAAGATGGTCGGATATGCTCTTCAGGTGTGTGAATGTAGATTTCTTGAGTAGATGGAAGAATTGTTTGCTTAATGCTTATACATGTGTTGACTTACATTCTTGTTCATGTATTTCATAGTCATCGGAATTCAACATGCTATTGGCTAATAATGTGATTCTGAATTGTATTTGTTATTCTGTTTATGAAGGATGATTTTGCACACAAATATTTCCAACTAGATCAATGTATACTATATAATGCATGTTTTGGATTCTTTACCTAATCTTGCTTAGCTACATGGGATGATAACTGTTTAGTTGCCTTGCTTTTGGGAATGGTGAGCAATGATTTCCATTCCCTTGCTTCTGAGGTAGCCTTTCCCCGATTAGTATGGTTTTCCTTGCCCAAGTGCCCAACCTCGTCTATCATGGACAAAGTTGAGCAAAGAAATCAACATGCACATGATGCCACCTTGAATGTACGGATTGGCTCTGCCTAAATATCTGTAACTTGAGCCATTCCCTTTTTAAAATTATAGCTTTATTCTATTGCAATTTTCACAAAAAACAAGAATAAGATCCAGTAAATGAAGTTCTCTAGCTGGTGGTTCTGGTTGCATTTCTCATGTTCTGTCATTTTCAGGCCGCCGATATACTGGCCAAGGAAGGTATCAGTGCCGAGGTAATTCGTTTTTTGCATTTCTTCTACACTACAGTCTTGTGCTACCAGATCTCTTTTCCCGTGGAGTCCATTGTTGTTGTCTTATTCTTTAGTAATTCTCTGTTTAGGTAATCAATCTTCGCTCAATCAGACCGCTGGATAGAGCTGCTATTAATGCATCTGTGAGGAAAACCAATAGATTGGTAACCGTAGAAGAAGGCTTCCCTCAACATGGGATTGGTGCTGAAATATGGTCAGTCTCTCCCTCCCTCCCTCCTTCCCAATGCATCTGTGCCTGCCATTCTCTTGATATTTTCTTGTTGCTGTGATGGCTTCACTGATCTCTTTTGATAAATGTTATTGTTTTATCCTTTTCCTGTGGCAGTGCACGAGCATCTTCTGCGTACCAGCGATGACTTTGTCTGGCAAGTTGATGCAATGTCGCATGGGCGTTTTACGATTGATGTTCAGTTTCTGGACCTGATGATAGCCAATAACAATGCAAGTATCCAGCCTCGTCTTGTTTTTCTCAATTCACATCTCTTGCTAAACGCTTCCATGACCTAGGATATTCCTGCAACATTTTGTTGTCTCCTTCCTGTGTGCAGAAACTTGAATGACTTGGCATATTTGTCATCATGAGCCCTTGTATTGGTAGGCATATATGAATCAAAGTATGAACTGTAACTACCAGAAGCTCAAGTCAGTTAGCTTCAAAACAGATACCAGACTTCAAATTTACATGCTGTGTGCAGTCTCATAGTTTAAATGAACAGCAATCACAATAATTTGCACCGTGTATTGTCATGGAATATTTGTTATAATCTGGTATAAATAAATGTGTATTGTCATTGAGTTTCAGTACAATCGTAGAAGAAGATAAGTCATGATGGAGTTGTGCATGAAAAATATATGTTCTGCTCGAATTTGAATTGTAAATTTAATTTTTTTTGGTGGAAAAATGATTTGTAGGGGTGGTTGGTCCCTACAAATGCATGATTTGTAGAGACGGTATGGTAGGGGCGGCTGGCCGAACCGCCCCTACAAATACTTATTAGCCGCCCCTAAAAACCATATCTGACGTAGTGTAAACTACACCACTGTGATGCAATAACCAAGACAACAACACTCCAAAGATGACCAAACATCTAGCTACACAAACATAAATAGTAGATTATCAAAGCCATATATAAATAGTGCATATGACGCTATTAGATATCCACTGAGAGACCCTAAGCCGTGCCGTCCAACATATCTGTATGCCCCTGCCATCCGCACTAGCTCACGTGTCAGTCACCACCGTGGACGCCGCCTACATGCCGAGACCAATCCTGCACGAATGGTATATATGTCATGACTCATATGGTATAGTTGAGCCCTTAGAATCGAATTAGCAAATGGCTTGTAACAATATTTATAGCCAGAAAAATCTATTCAAATATGTCATGACTCTATAATGAAATATTTTCTCCAGTTCATTCTCTTAGGTTCATGTGTCTTGATCGCTCATTACTCATAGTGTACAATATCTGACATAAATAATTTATTTACCGCATGATACTAGAAGCGAAGGGTTGTGACTATACCACTAGTACAAATGTGTACATCTATGATGAAATTTTAGCGACGAAGCAAAATCGTGTCACAAAACAGTGCATAACTATGACAAAATTTTAGGAACAATTTAACTTAAAGTGCATAGTACGGATTATTTCTGGAACAACTTAACTAAAAGTGTTACTTGCATTTTGGATGTGTTATTGTGAGACTTGCTTAAACATTCTGTATGCAACTTAAGAACTGAATTCTTGTTTCCTTTTGTATGTAACTTGTGTGTTGGTGATGCTGGCAATTTCTGAAGTCCAACAAAAAGTGGTCCCCAGCTCTTGACAAGATAAAATGGAACCTATCCAAGTTCCTAGGAGTTGTGAACCTTGTAGCAGATGCCAGCCCAATTCCTAGGAGTTGTGAACTAGCCTTAGAAAAAAGGACAACTGGCCATGCAGTTGTCCAACAATAATAGATGTTGGAATTCATCTAGCATGCTTCTTTTCAAAATCTCAAACTGCTGTCAACTACACTAATGCATGGACACTACTACAAAAAGCATTTCTAGGAGCGGCTGGTAAGCCTTTGTAGGGACAGTTTGGCCAGCCGCCCCTATCGAACTGTCTCTACAAATCATGCATTTGTAGGGGCGGTTCCCAGGCCGCCCCTACAAATCGATTTGTAGGGGCGGCTCGTATTACCAGCCGCCCCTACAAATACCTGTTTGTAGGGGCGGTTCAATCTAAAACTGCCCCTACAGTACGTTTTCCAGCAAAAAAAAAAAATTCAAATTTACAATTCAAAATCGCGTTGCCGAACGTCCCGCGACCAACGTTCCGAACAGCGTTCGTGTTGCCGAACGCCCTGCGACCAACGTTCCGAACAATGTTCGTGTTGCCGAACGCCCCGCGCCCAACGTTCCGAACTGCGTTCGTGTTGCCGAACGCCCCGCGACCAGCGTTCGCGTTGCCGAACGCCCCGCGACCAACGTTCCGAACCGCGTTCGCGTTGCTGAACGCCCTGCGACCGCGACTACAAGCACAAGAGTATTATATAAACTACAATTACAAGTCCAATTCACAAGAATATATACAATCCATCATTAAATATACAAATTCCATACACATTGTTATCAACGTCCTAGAGCTAGCCTTTCAGTCTCACGAAGGTGTTAGTACTGAGGATTTATACCTAAGTCAGACTCTCGGTCATGGTAGGCGCCTCTGACGTGTACAACCTGGTCTAATATGAAGTTGCAAAGGTCACCGATGAGCTCTAAGAGTTGGTCATCCTTGTATGTGTCTCTTTTCATTCCTTTCTCTTATCTCCACTACAAGAGAACAAGTTTCGGTTTAATATTTCATACCATGTATGAAGTTTTTATACTACGGGTGAAGAGGTTCAAACTTACCCTTAAGGGGTGTCTCCTGTAGGCACCGGTGTTACTCATCATAGAACATATATAGTATCCACAATGTACACTCCCAGGCTTTTGCTTGGGGCACTGTGTGTTTTGCATATGAAAATATTAAGTAATGCTTTTGACAGCCATGTATCGGAGTACTGAAGAAGTAAGTTACACTTACCGCACATAGTGTTTTTATAGCCAGCTTTTCCTTCCTTGCTGGATTATGCCTTCCGTGATGATTAGTGACATAGAACCTAAATGCCCTGTTCGGATTATTTTAGCAAATACAACTTGTTATAATCCAAAAGTGAACGTTACATGTATGTATATAAACATATAAGCTAATGAGGATTGTCGATATATATACGTCTTGAGAATCGATATGAAGTCTTTGTATGTCACCGGGTCCTATTCTATTGAATCAAAAACCCATGCCATGCTTCTCCCGACATCGACGGCTATACAAATCCAGTGGTTGCTGCATGGATTTAATCATAAAACTAGATAAGCTCTTTTGCATCAAATAAAATATATCGAACAAAGCTTTAAGTATAGAGTTGAGCTTACTCGAAGTTATATGGTAGCCATATAGTAGAGTGTTGTTGGAGATTTTTGAAAGCCAGTGCAATGTATGCCGCAACCTTAAGGGACTCTTCCCTTAGTTTCGCCATACGAATGCGCTCTTTCTCCCGAAGAGTCTTTGCAGCAGCTAGTTCTTTGGCATCCAGTGTCCACCGTTTAGGGTAATTAAAATTTGTTTGGGCTATAGCTTGAGGGTCTAGATACCCGGCTTTCACAATTGGCATTTGTTTGACAATGTGCACTTGCATTCTACAAATCACGGCGTGGGTTAGTTACAATAAAATTCAAAGATTACATTCATATCATATCGGGAGGACAAGGACTTACATGCACCACGTGCGAATTAGATTCATCTCCATTTCTCCTAGGTAAAAGCATGTGTGCATGTCATTGAAGTCAAAGACAATTTTCCTGACTGGGCTTCCAAATGTGCCGGTGGGGAAGCATGCTTGTATGAGATCTATGCTCGTTGGGAGAACACGCAAGTACCAATCATGGAACCTTCTCATTCCAAGTGGTAGGCGCTGGATGTCCTGGTTTGGTAGGAAGGGCTTGCCTCTTTCATATGTTTTCGGGTAATCCTTTGACCATTCGATGGCATCAACATTTGGATACTGCTTTGCAATTTGGTGGAGTTTGCTAGTGATGGCCTCCTCAGAACCCCGTGATGGGACCTTTTTAACTTGGTTCTCAGGCTTGAACTGGTCATGGGAAAACCACTTGGACACCGACGAGACGTCTTTGATCAGAACATAAACTAGCCTTATGGTGATTGGATGCTTCTTTCGAAGTTCCCATTCAGGCACGTCCTCATCTTCTTGTGTATCACCTTCTTCAGGAGGCACTCGTTGTTCATGTATCGGTTGTGCTTGTTGAGAAGACTATGGTATCTCATGATGCACTTGCTCGGTATGAGCTGGAGAAGGTTGTGGCATCTCATTAGGCACATGCTCGCTAGGAGGCGGGGAAGAATGTGGCATCTTAGGAATATGGTGGTCACAAGACGGTGAAAATATCTCCCCGACCTCAACAACTCGCTCCAAATTTGGGAGAGGGGGAGGCGGCGAAGAAGCAGTCAAAATAATGTCCCGTTTGTGCCAGAGGATAAAGTGCCCCATAACATTTCTGAGTAACACCAGCCCCTCAGGAGTTGCATAGTCTATCCTCCATTGCATGAACTCGGGCTTCATTGTATGCACCTCGACCCTATTGTAGTCCGGCGGTATCTTATTATTATGGTGTAAGCCACCAGGAGGATGTGCCACACCCGTTGCCACCTCTATCACAGTGTTCAATCGGCCGCTGAGAAACACCAAGGTGCAACTAGTAGGTTCCCGTATGCGATCGACGGGGGTTGTGGCTATAGTGGAACCTTGGCTGCTAGGAACTTTCGGAGGGGTGCCAACTAATGCCAGTTCTCCCAACGACGTCACTAATATCCGTGGCTCTGTAGATAGTCCTTGCTCCTCCAGCGCCTTCGCAACTAGAGCCTTCACTTGGAGCTCAAGACTAGTCTCCCGGTCTCTGCCATGTTTCTTGTCCATGTGCCTGTCCTCTTCGAATCCTTGCTTCTATGTCGTTCTTTTCCCAAGCCCCTTGGTGCGGCCTGTGTGCTCCTTGTTTCCTAAGCCAAGGCTAAGCTCGTCCCTCTCTCTGGAAGGATTGAATGAGCCCTTCTCCTTGTCTTCAGCATATTTCAGTATCCTTGATACTGCCTCTTGGGTCTTCGGCTTATCAAACTTAAGATTACCGCCGGATGATTTGGTACTCCTCGCATATATCTAATTCCTTGAGCGTACCTTCAAATTCATCACATCGATATTCCCAGCAGCTACGGCCTCTTCGTCCATCTTCCTAAACTGCTCTTCCTTGGCATAGTAGCCACCGGGGCCTAGATGATGGTGGTGTTTGTTCCTCTTCGCCAGCTCGGTGTTACGGGCACTGAGCTCCAATGCCTCCGGTGAAGTTTTTTGAGCCACAAGCTCCTCCTATCGACTAGGAGTTAGTTTGCCGAACTCGTTGAAGGGAG